AAAGTCAAAAACTACGGCCAAGATGTACCCAAGATTCTTTTTGCTTTGCATCTTGGGTACTCAAGATGGGTACCCAAGATGCTTTGCACGGCTGGCACGGCACTATACCGCTAGGATCTCTTCGATTTTGCAAATGGTCTATTGCTGCTGCAACGTTACTAGCCGATTTCGGAGCCCAGCACGCGCTATGTTCGTTACCAACCCTAGGGTGTTGCTATGATTAATGTTGGCAGAAGATAATAGACACCAGATCACGTGACGCTATAGAATGTGAACTTGGAGGGTTTTATAAAGCTTTCTCAACGAAAGAAACGATGAAGCGCTCCTATCTTCTAAGTTTCCCACCTAAGATCACGCATCTATAATGTCTCAATTCAGGGACAGGTTAAAGGGGCGATGCAACAATTTTTGTATTTTGCGCAAATACCACTTAAAACGGATCCCTGACGTTAATGACCTATGAAACACGCGTTCGTTTTTCACCCCACGCAATAGAAGTTCCAGAAAAAAATCAAAGAAAGACGAGCACCGTTCACCCCCTCAACTCGTAGCCAGAACAAGCGGCCACGTGATCTGGAGCCGATTATATGCCGCCAATGTTGATCATAGCCACGCGCTGGAGTTGGCAAAACACAGGACACGCGCTGAGTTCCAGACATTGTTATGGCTCGGCTATTGTCGTCGTTGCAGCGATTGGACACGGGCCACTAACCGAATGCATGTCGAGGCAGCGATTGTCACTAGCCCAGATCGAATGCGTACGCAGTCTTCGCGTCCACTGTGTGATCAGCCTATGAATATCGTCACCGCAAAGCTCGATGACGCATTCCCGGGGATCGTACTGTTGCCATTGTGCCCACAGCTCCGTCATCAAATTTCGCGAAGGATCAAAAGGCGGCTTTGGAAGGAGAGACTGAAAGAAAAGCTCCGGTTTCGTCCTTTGAATAGACCGATTTCACTAAGGGTTTCACGCATGCGTAACGCCGCCATCATTGTAGTTCATAGGAGGCAGGCGCCAGTTCACGAGGCAGCTCGTGCCGCCTCGTGCTCTGCTCGCGCAGGCCCTCAGCGGGGTTGTCGCGCGTGCAGAAAGACTGCATCTCCCACGATGCATGGCGGCAGCGGTGGCGTAATAAAACTGTCCGTGAGATCGGTCTATTCCGCCGCGACGAAGACGCTTCTTGGTCAGTGGTGTTGCGTTCGAGTATTCTTGGGTCCCACTAGTGCCAGGAATCTGGTGTAAAGTAAGAAATATTCCTACCCAATGCCGTTGCATAGCCCCTTTAAGAATGTAATGTACTCCGTTTCATACTTAGTATACACGATTGCACGTGGGGCAACGAGCCGCCGCCATGTATACGCTCCTGCGAGCGAGCCTTTGGAATTACAAGCTGGCCAAAAATACGTCCACGCGCCCTCTACACCTGCTTGCACGCATGGGGCTTGCAACATACAACCCCGTGAAAGCTACTGGCGCGAGCACGTGGCTTCATCTATGGTTTGGTTAGCTAAAGAAAAAAAAAAGTGTAGGTTAAAGGAGTAACCAACTTGTCTCTTTTAGACCGATATCAGCAGCCAGTTTGACTACGCCATCGCTGCCGCAATGCATCGAGGGAACTTTAGTCTTTCTGCACGCGCAACAACCTTGCTGGAGCTCTGCGCGTGTGGAGCACGAGAAGGCACGAGCCCTCGCATGCACGGCCGTCTGCCTCCCGTGAACTAAAGTCATGGTGGCGTCACGGATGCGCCGAACGCTTGGTGAGATCGGTCTGTTGAAAGCCATAGATTGTAAGATCCGAGCCCAATAGCTAATTTTGGTGGTCCCTTTGGCTTCACAAAATAATACCAGACAGCCACCACAGTTGCATCCGCGCTGTTTCGAGCTCCGGTTCAGAGAGATCCAATAATTGATTCCTAGCCAGAGGCCCCGGAACGGGCTCCAGGAGCTCATGACAGCCGGGCGCGCCTTCCGTGCCAAGACACCCCCGGGAACGTCTCCGTTGGCGTTGAGCAGCGTGGCCAATCGAAAGCAGCTGGAAGCGTCGTCGGCAGCCCGGTGCTGCCTACGCCAAATGAACGGCCTTTTGCTCAACGGCAGCGCATCCGGATCGCGTATTTCGGGTATACGGTGTTCACGCCTCTCGATCGATTACTGCTTGACGTCCCGCCTGGTGCAATGTCCGTGCTCCTCAAGGTCGTGGATCGCGGCGCAGAAAAGCCTCCAAGACTCGTGTCTTCACGCCTTGTCTCCTCTTCTGACAACAGGAACCGTTGGTGTTCTCGGGTAGTCGTCGAAAGGATCTGTCCTGGGAGGGACCTTGATGACAGCACACGTCTTCGCATCGAAATCGACGCGCGCGCCGGTCATGGATGGATGGACGAATCCGGCTGAGCCCTTTGGATCGGGCGGTAGCTCACGCCACCTAGCCATTTTGTTTTAGCATTTAAGCTTAGAATATTTAAATGTGAAATATATATTCACTCCGCACTGCAAAGAAAGTGAGGCGATAAAACCCCCTTGCCATCAGTTAATAAGAAAATACCTAGTTTTCTCTAGCTTTCTGCCACCATTCACTTAATGTTTGCTTGGTAATCTCTACTGTCTTGAAATCCATTCTTCCTTCGCTGTCTCTAAAACCCAATGACTTTATTAAACCTATGTTGTCTTCGGTAGGTGAAGCCCTTTACAAAAGTTGGGGCAGCGCCATCTGGCGAGAAAATTGAAATAGTTTTCGGTCGGGCTCCGGTTCTGCGTCGCGACGCTTTTTAACGTTGCTCGCGGACGCTAAGTTGACAAAATTTCATTGGTGGATACATTTGTGTCATGAAATCATAAGAACAAAAACACAAGAAAACCATTCTTGTCGTTTTGATAACAAGAACACTGAAAGCGCGAGATGAATTTTTCTTTCGTTTATTAAACTTTTTGTATTTTTCTTTCAGACGCTCTGTATACCATGCTTAAACGGATGCTGACAGACGCTTGTAAACGACCGTGGCTTACGCGTGATGGAACGCTGCAGGGCCGACCGAATGCGACTGCACCGGTTTGCGACGTTAATGCTTTTATGGGTTGCCACAACATAAAAAAAAAAAAAAAAAAAATTTAACGCCGAAAGCTTATTCTCATGCTGGCGGTCCGAAGCATGAATCCAAAGTTCCGAAGGTAATCGTTATTCCAATAAAACGTTACAAGTGATTTGGTGAAAATTTCAATGAGGTCATGGGGCCCGTTTTTGGCCGCTTTGGATAGCTGGCGCCCTTCTGCTCCAATTATTCGAGAACCTCGTCGGCCGCCATTTTGTCATTAAAATTTTCAGAAAAATTTATTATAAAATTTAAATAAGTTAACGGTTCGTTCTGAAGCTTTAGCATCTGGTTCAAACCGCTGGCGCTACTTTTGGGCGGAGAATAAGCGTTCCGCGACGCGTAGGTAATGTTTGCAGTACAAACAAAACAAAGAACACGGTGTAAACGTTTTGGGGCACACACCTCGTATTTATATCTTTACACTCAAGGTGCACACTCTTAGAAAGAAGGGTGTCGTCTTACACCCTTTTTGTGCCATATAATGCACCCCCAAAACGTTAGTAAATTTGACCTACAGCGCACAGAAGTCGAACAGACGGCGCAAACGTTTAGGAGGGGCTTGATAACGGTGAGATATATCTCGTTAAACAGCTAAAGTACGTATCAAAAACTACAAAAAACAAGAAAACACTGACGTTTTGCATTAAGGAAAAAAATGTTATATATATATATTTTTTTGAGTCAGTAACACGTATATTAGCTATTTTAATAAGTTGTACCACTATAGGCTGTCCAGGGATGGGCGATACATGCAAATATGTATCAAAATACAAATACAAAATACTTCGTCAAAAATGTATTTAATTACAAATCTAATTACATTTCCAAAAAAGTATTTAAGTACAAGATACAAATACAACCGAATGTATTTGGTCTCCTCCAAATACTTTTTCAAATACATTCTTCAAAATTTGCGTCAGCGACTTCAGGGCACCTGCAACGGGTTTCTGGGTACCTCATTTTGATTTCGCATCGCACACTCGGGAGTTAGCGTGCGAGGCTCTAGTAACGTAATAGGAATATAATAACAAAAAAAATGTAATCAGCTTGGACGTAATAGGTGAAAAAAGTACAGAGCTTCAAGTAGCTTTTTTTGTCGATTACATTTTGGTGTAGACCAACAAAGAACCGAGACGACCAAGACGCGCAGCACTAGCTAGAGAAGTTTTTATCGTTGCAACTCGCACCAGTTACGAAAATCTGGACGACCCGCGCATTTAGAATGTTCCAGGCAAAAGTATGGATGGAAACCAGGCTGGAAAGCACCACAAGTTGTCACAGGCACTTATTTAGCTAGTCTGCCTGTGAACATCGATTTCGTCACTATTCTTGCCCTGGACTAGCACCGTAATCACAAAGTAACTAAACGCTTGTGCTTGATTGAGAGACACTGCATTCGGTGCAGAACGTAGTTTTGAGGGATGTATTTTCGCCCGGAAAATTGTATTTAATTACAAGTGTATTTGAAATACCCACATTTTAGTATATAAATACACACGTCAAATACATTACCCAATTTGTAATTAAATACAAATGCAAAATGCACAAAGTATTTGAAATACGTACTTCAAATACTTGTATTTGAAATACTGCCCATCCCTGAGACTATCAAACCGCTCGTGAAAGTTGATACCGTCGGTTTGAAGTCAGTGCACTGTACGTCGAACGGAAGTTTTGGCGTGTCACGTATGGGACACGGGGTGTAAGAATATATACCCTTTTTTTTGTGAGGGTGCAAATCACAGTACATATAGGGGAGTGGACACCCGAAAATATGGTGATTAAGTTAATTTCGAGTGTTGTTAGTGAAAGTTTGTTTCGAAAGAACAGTCTCCGATTCGAAGTCACCGACAAGGTGAGGAGGGGAAGGCCCGCTTTCTCGCGTTCAGTGTCGGGTTCTTCTTTCGCAGGTGGCTCTGTCTGCTAGGCCTGCTCTTCGGACAAGCTCCGTGTCACATCTCGGAGCAGCGACAGCGGCACTCGGTGAGGCACCCACTCTCTTCCAGCGTTCGTGCAAATGCAATGTGATTTGCTCGCTTTTCAAAGCAACGCGCGCGCTGTGATGTGGATTTGTGAACAATGGAACGAAAGATTTAGAATTACCTAAATTACCTTCCAGTGACTTTAGAACAAACAACCAATCGCCGTAACTTATTTTTTCTTTTATTTTTTTTTTAACGCAGAAGACAAGAGAACATGAAAATAAATGTGCAATTTTGTTGCTTTCCGTTTATTCTGGGTCCTCCGGTACAAACTGCGCTTGCGCTACAATAGAAGACTCGCATATGCACAGTTCGGACGTGCCAAAAACGGTTCCCTAAATCTCTCTATTAGAGACTTTTAGTGGACCGTATTCTAGAGCTATCGCTTCACAGCGTCGGAAGCTCATGTGGTCACTTCGAGGCATGGATTGCGCACGTGCAGGCAGTAGTGACGTTTTACTATCCTGACGACTGCAGCGCCGCCATTGTTGTCTACACGCGCAGCCTCGCGAGCTCCCATTGCAGAGCCGCGACGGCCCAAATACTACCCTCTCTTCTAGTACGCCGCACTAGAAATGTATTACTAGCATGGTCCGCTTCTTTAACCTTTAACTCGAAGAATTTTGCGAAAATTTTTGTTGTATTTTATGACCCCATCCTCCCGGTGTATTTTTTTTTTTTAATGAGTCCATTTTCTCTCCCTAGTACGCGCGTGCGTTTAACAAATAGGGATGATCTGATTTCATATCGCCCTGAGCATGAGCCCTACCGGAATTGATGAGTTCGGTATTTCATTAAAATTTTCGTACAGCGGCTTTCCGAAAATATGCTCTTGGGTGACTGAGTACTGTGGTTCCCATGACCCCGTACAAATCATACTAGACGTGATGCCAATGTATCTTTTGTTGCATTTATGAAAACTCTAGCACCGGATTCATTGCAAATACGTACAAACACAAAAGTCGGTCGAAGGGAGGTATACATTACTTAAAATGTTCAAAAGTCTGATTCGTTCACGATAGACACGGCAAGATTTCGGCAAGTCTCTACGCGCGAGCGACTGAGACGGAATCAGACACTATTGAGAGAAATCCCTCTTCCCTGAAATGCAGTGCTTCCCCTCGAGGCTCTAAAACACAGCAATATGGTGAAAGAGCCTAAACACCAAAACATGTCATTCTATGACCGAATATAGTTGCTTTGAATTCTATAGAGAACTGATGTCGTTCGTACCTGCCACCCTGCAGCCTTCGAGCAGAAGAGGCGGGGCCCCATAAGTTAGGAATACCCCATTCTTGCACTCCATCTCGAAACAATAGACAGATTGACCGCATGGATTTCATGACAATGTACTTATTTACCATTACATAAGGCCATAGCGCGGCACCGCAAAAGCGCGAACAAGCGATCGTAGTTAATTATTTCTATTTCAGAATTGGAAGGTTGTCATATATAAAGCTAACAGAGAGTTGGAAAGTGTTTATTGTGAACACTAACCAAAGCAGTGAGATTCGGTACCAGTCAGCGTCTTTTCCCAGTAAAATGCGAAACAGTGCGAGCGATTTGTTCGCGCCAAGGGCGTCGCGCAGTGTGTCTCGTTTACTCGCTCGAGGTTTGGTCAGTGAGTAGCCCGCCAGCTCACGGTGGCCGAGTGGGCTAAAGCGCACACCCACCTCGACGCGCGTCGAGCGAAAGCTCGCTTTGCAGAACCCAGAGATCCTGGGTTCGAGCCTTACCCCTGCCCGTTTCGATCTGGATGAGCATCGTACCGGCGTGCGGTCGTGTATCACTACTGCGTGGTGCACGTTAAAGACCCCAGGCTAGCGGTTGTACTGCACTGGCTAAACTGCTCATCTACAGCGTGTGACTCGTCGCAATTTTAATGGCTGACCAACTACAGGCTGTATAAATATCCCCATAACCCAATTTTTTTTTTTTTTTTAGAGCTTGTATTATTGAGACGTGCCCTAGAGCAAGGAGCTCGTGCTTGTAGCCTTTCCTGCGGTACGATTGGACAGCGCTGGTACAAAGCCCGTCCATATGGAAGTTCGCACGGGTGGGAGACCCCAACTCGCTAGTTGCACGCACGAGGCTGTGAGAATATTTCTGACCTTCTGCATTTCGTCATTTTTACGTTGTTTATCATGTCCCGGAGGATAAAGAAAACATGTCCTTCATTAAAAAAAATGTCGCTATTCCGCCGCATAATCACAAAGAAAAAGTCGAGATTTTTTCTCCCACCTGCAGCCGCGAGTGGCAGCCGAAGGAACTACGGCGAAAAGCTTACGTGACCTCGCTCGGCTCTAAGCTGCAGCATAACGCCCGCTAATATCAGCAGAGAGAGTGAGAGGAAGCGTCCTCGGAGAGAGCACACGGGAAGCTACACGGCACCCAGAATTACGTCACTAGGAGGGGGACCAGGTGTGACCCTGAAGACTGGGAGTGAGTTGAGGGGTGCCAGAAATGCCAATATTTATCTTTATTTTTACACAACAACTTGGACACGCAGGCGAAATCATGAAAATAATCCCTGGAGAAGGGGAACAAGAGGGACAAAGGACAAACACAAATATCCAAACACAGCTAGGTGACTGGTGCGCGACCGAAAAAATCCGCCTGGTCCGGGTATCGAACCCGGGACCTCCCCATTACAGGTGGAGCGCTCTACCAACCGAGCTAACCAGGGGTTAGACGTCAGTAGAGCAAACGGGTTTTATCAGCTGCCACCAGTCTAACACCAACAAGGGTGAAGCTTGCAATTTAAGGTTATGATTATAATGCAATTAAATGCAAAGGGGCAAGCGAGCTGGACAGTAATGATGAAAATAATCCCTGGAGATTATTTTCATCATTACTGTCCAGATCGCTTGCCTTTTTGCATTTAATTGCATTATAATCAGGCGAAATCAATCGGTTTTCTGTTCTTTACTTTAGAAGTGTCAGAGGACAACTTCCACAAATGTTTGACAGAAGTTAGGAAAACGTTACACCCCCCCCCCCCCCCCCCTTTTTTTTTAAGTTTACGACAGGTGGTCACTGCTCGATGAACCGCGGTCAGCCCTGTTCTTAGGAAATATTCTTGTTCTAAAGACCCCATATCTTCACGAGAGGGTGCGCAGCGTCCTGTTGGATCTGTTCTCGGGGGGGTGTAGCCCGAAACAACCCATTCCCTTTTGAACCCGTGCCGTTTTGACCCATTCCCGAAACGACCTTCCCGTTTGAACCCGTCCCGTTTCGACCCATTCCCGAAACGACCTTCCCGTTTGAACCTGTCCCGTTTTCAACCCGTTCCCGAAACGCCCTTCATATTTAAATCCGTAGCCAAGACATATTTTACGTTTGAATACGTCCCGTTTGGACCCGTTGGTGTAAAGCCTTGCACATCTCAACCTCTTCGCGAAAAGTGTCCATCGTTCTAATCCTGGTTTGCGCAGTTTTTCTGCTTAAGAATATGTCCCGAAATCATGTTAATGCAATTAATGCAAAGGTGCAGGCGAGCAATTCAGTTATGTTGTGAAATATTTTTGCTTGTAAGCGTATTCTTAAAATATGCAATACTTTCAGACAATCTTCAACGAAATATATTTCTACTTAAACCACTTAAAATGTTTCTTTCAAGATGGTCCCCAAAATGCGCAACTACGAAATGGACTATCTACACTGCGCGACAACGTTACCACGAACACGATGTTGGCGATTTTTCGGATTTTACTTCGAAATGGTGTTAGAAGGTACCACATTTTACCGCTTAGGTTAGTGGCCCAGATGAGCACTTTCAAACACATTAATAATGTTGATGGCAGTTTTCTGATTTTTTTTATGCAAACAGCTAAAACCAACAATCGCTTGTTCGCGCTAACGGTTTCGCGCTCTGTACAATAACAGGAAGCTTTCGTAGACCGTTTTCGACGTCACGCGATGCTCCTCCACTACCCGCTACGATACCCAGAACTCTACAGTCAAGGCCATCGGCGCGCAGGCGCAGTAGCGGCTTCTTCGTTGCGGAGGTCTTAGCGAAAGGGGAAACGCGGTCTACGAAAGCTCCCTAATAAAGTGTTAGAGTAACGCAGGCAAGCACTTTGAGTAAGCAAAGATTAGCGTTGCCTAAGTTTTTATATCGCGACGCAATTTTTAGGTTACCCAAAACGCTTGCGTACGTTATTCTAAAACTTCCTTATAGTGAACGGGATATTTTTAAAAGTGATAAATCAGACAGGCTGACGGGCGTATGATTGCGACTTCATTTTCTTAGAAGTTCAAACACAGAACCGTCGCTTACACAGGCAAAAATCATAAACCACAAAATGCTGTTGCCTTGGTTGAGAAAGTTGAGCAGGAAAATCGCGCCATCAGAAAGGCGACACTCCAATTGTGATAGTTCGTGGCGGTCACCTGGCCCGCACGGCACCACCATTTGCCAGCTGCTGCAGCGATATCCTTGTCAAGGCCTCATCCCGTTTGCAGGTCGATGAAGTTGTAAATGTTCGGGTGAGCCCTCCCCGACACGGCGTTTACCTTACGGTGCCATGTCTCCGAGGTTGTTTCGGGAGATGGAGAAGTGATGTGAGCAAGGAGAACAGACACTGGACACTTGAACCTAATCAACTGTTAACGAACAATACAAACGAACCGAACGATGGCCGAAGCGGGAAGGTTGTTTCGGGAAAGGGGGAAATGGGAAAGGATGAAACGAGAAGGTCGTTTTGAGTCGGGTCGAAACGGGGAGGTGCAAACGGGAAGGTTGTATTGGGAATGGGTCGAAACGCGAACCACCCTCTCGGGGCTGTAAGACTTCCTTCGCAGACAGCCCCCGGAATTCCCTCTCTCTTTTGTTGAAGGGTCCTCAAGTACGGCAAGGTCGTGAAGAAGGAACACAAAAAGAAAAAAAACAGCGAACGCTTTCTTTACATTCCCCCCCCCCCCCCCTTTTTTTTTTCCTAGTCTTTCTGCGGGACATCCATCATCAGAGTCGAAGCGCATAGTGACACACTCGCTTTGGGACACTGCAAGGCGCGATGGCGGAGACGCTGACACGAGCTAAGAGGTGCTTCTTAAATTTACTATAGTGATGAAGTTTGGAAATCGGAGAAGACGGGGGAAGGGGGGTATCCTTGTCTTGTAGGTGCACGGTTTTGCTTGTGGTCTCTCTCTTCTCTCTCGAGGGGGAGGGAGAGAGATGCTTCAGAGAGAGAGCACTTGGCCATACATGGCCAATGCGGAGCAATTTACTTTTGTTGCATCAATGTTTAGACAGTCGGAACTTAGTTAGCCTCAATGGGCGTCTGGTTTCTCAGCTGTGGAAGTTTATACAGTGCAGTATGCAACTGCTAGCCTGGGGTCTATGCAACGCGCACTACGCAGTAGGAATAAACGACGTACCGCACGCCGGTATACGATGCTCGTCTCGATAGAAACGGGCAGGGGTAGAGATTGAAGCTGCAGGATCCCTGGGTTTCTGCAGCGCGAGCTTTCGCTCCACGTGCTCCGAGCGGTGGTGCGTTATACCACACTCGGCCACTGATCTCCTTCGCCAATACCAGCTAGAGGACAAAGGCCATGAGCTTTTTCCTAAAACGTCATCACCAGTAGGCCCACGCAGCGCCGCGTATACCTTGTCTCGGCATCAGCACTAGCACGTCTTGCAGCGTCAACGAGTGCGAGGTTAGCACGCGGCATCGCCAAGACGGATGGGTCGGTCGCTTCGCGGCGACTCTCATTTGGGCTTCTGCGTGTTTGCCGCTTGGGGCCGGGTCGCGGGCGATCCACAAACGGTGACGTCATGAGCACGCCTTGTTTTTTTCGTTACCGTGCTTGGCTATGGCGCGGAGGCTCCACGTTCAATTCCAGGGAACGGATTCCTCTTTTATGTATCCTTCCAACTTGACGTTCTCGTAAGTTCGAGCACCTTGTCGTCTGATCGATTTACGAATGTTCCAGAAACCCACGCGTGTACAAAGGATGCTCCGCGTCGTGGTCCGGAGTCAGTCTCGCCCCAGCGTTCAACCCTGCTGTTACGCCGCCTTCGACGCCTGCGACTCTAGCCTTCTTTCATTTTGTTTTGGGCACAAGTTCGCCCCATTAAACGTTTAGTTTCCTTCAGTCATTCTTCGCCCCATCAATCGTCATTCGTGACAGTATGCGCTTGACACGCGTTTTTCCGTCTGCGAACGGACCGTCGGCTCTCAGGCGGCAAAGCCCAGAATCGGGAGGCCCTTGTCGGGTCGGCGGAGTGAAAGAATGAGAAGGAGATGATTCATTTCTTCGTGCATTATGTATACACACAGAGCGGCCGGCATCTGCATACGCGAAACGTTTCTCACCTTTGGAACTGTTCTCTTGCTCTTTCTTCTTCTCGGTGGTTCGGCTCAAAACGCCTCCCAGGATGAGCAGACGATGATGCCGGGTACGCCGTGACGGATCGCGTCTGAGATTAGCGCGTTCTGGATAAGCGTGTCTAATCGCTCCCGGTCCTCGACGGGCCGCCTCTGGGAGAGAGTGTGTCCCCGAGAGCGTGTCCCTTCATCGCCCGGACGCGCGTGCCAGACTCGCAGAGTCAAGGCTGCAGGTTCACAGATTTGCGACGGTTGCGTTCGCATGCAACCGAAAGGACTGTAACGACCGCAACACCGCAACAACCGTGACTCGTGGATTGCTTCGCGAAGCTACTCCCTGCATCGGTTGCCATGTTGTGTACGGCCAACACTTGTCCCTGTGGCTTTGTCGTTACGGTCGTTCTGGTTGCATTCGAACGCAACCAGCGCAGATGTATAAACCAGCCTTTGATGCGTTTTTTTTCGTCAGCAAGAAGCAGAAATGTTCTCAAGCTTGGAATTTAAAGAAAAACGAAAAACAAAGACAGTATGTACTTGGGACCACCTTTCTTGGCAATGAAGCCAAAGCTGTGTGTGCCATTGCGCTTCCGCTCCCGCACATTGTTGTCTACACGCGCAGCCTCACAATAAGCTACCACTGCCAAGCCGCGCCGGAGTGTAGTCTTATCGAAGATAGGAAGCTGCATGTATGGGCCGGGGCGACTGAATGACCTCCCTGTCGTTCTCACCCTATCAATGACTGTATGGGTGTGGCTCATGTTGCATCAGACACTTTTTCTTATGTCTGAGGTCAACGTTACTAGAGGGGGGTCAGATTGGGAACTCGAGCGGCACTCACTGGAGGAGTGCGGGCCGCTGCGATAGCGGGCGCAACCGTGGCGCTGCCGTCGCCCTGAGATTAAAGCTCCTCCATGTTTCAAAAGTAGCGCAAAGTGCGTCGATGCACGAGGCACGTGCAACGTGCAGCCCTTGGTCAGCTCTGCCCTTGGGAAGATCATGGCGGCACAGTGCAGCATAAATATGTAAACTCCCGTTTTTTTTATAGTCAGTAGTAACGCGACACGGCTTCCGTGCACACGACTTTCTTTAGAGTATAGGTGGTGTGACTCGGAAGCAATTGTATAGAGCCCTTGCTGATGCTGTCTTCCTCGTCCCGCTGTACAGATTCCTGTACTCTGTAGGCCCGGGGCAGAACGTCCTTTAGCGCGTCACAAGAATGTCAGTCCCAACAAATGATAGTTTTTTTTTTTTTGTTTTTTTTTTTTTTATGTGCACATATGAGTTTTATTTGCTAAAGCTTGGATAATGGTATGTTTGTAGCCTGGAGTGTAAATTGTTTCTTGAGTAAAAAAACCAGAGCCAATTGAGCATGTATTTCTAGATTGTTGGGATGGGGTTTTCTTTTAAGATGTGCTACACCGAACTCTGAAAAAAGATCTACCTCTGGGTGCCCACGGTATTAGGTACTTAGCCATAGACAATGAAAACGACCGTATGATCTCGTCATACTTCTGGGCCTACATAGCATATGAAAATCTCGCATGGCTGCCCGTCATGCAGATGTAGATGTCCGTTCAGTTCATGAGTACTTTGGAGAATCTGTTCGACGGATGGTAGAAGTGTGGAAGGCTCAGCCTAAGGTTCCTGGTTGGATATCTGTACTGGAAGGTGTTACACAATTGTAGTACTTCTACCCATGTCGCGTTAGTCGCAAAGTGACTGGTGTGAGTGTTTTTATCATTATTGTATCATTTTTGTTGATGTCCAAGACGGCAATAAAGAAAAAAAAAAGTGGCTTTTTCAGTAGCGTGTCGGGCTCGCAAACGAAAGGTCGTGGGCTCGAATGCAGCCTAGACCTCTTCACACTTTTTCTTTAAAGGAAATTGACGTCACGACCCTATCGACCAATCAGGATTTTCCCGTTACGAGCACGAGACACAGGCCGAGAACCGCTCTTAGGCACTGCTCTTAGGGCGACTACAGCGCCACCTCTCGCACGTTCTACGAAATGGTGTCACGCCGGAAACCGAGCTTCGGTGACAGGTCAAGAACGAAGTGGAAGCTAGGCCTACCTCTTTCCACTTTAGCGGAGTGAACGCTCGAGAGGAGGCGACCTCCTCTCCACCGTTAGCTCCGTTAAAGTGGAAAGGGGTGGGCGGAGCTTACACTTCGTTCTTGACCTGTCACCGACTATAGTAACGTTGTCTGAAGTGCTCATACCACCGAATTGCGAAGGTTGGACACCCGATTTTTATCTTAAAGGCCTAGTGCCAATGTTGTTCCTATCGCTTTTTTTTTTTTGCAGGCAGTCTTTTATGACACTGGTTTTGCGCCGTCCTACAAAAAAAAAAAAATGTCTTTTACACTTTGTTTTACATTAAATCCGATTGAACGTTGGCTGATGCTTTCTGCAGGTATGGACGTCGAATTATCTGCGGAGAAGCGACCAGCGGCTTCCTCGAGCGTCAAGCGGCTGGGACGGTTGGGGCCCCTGGTCTCCGTGCTCCAGGTCTTGCGGCAGGGGTCTGGAGACGCAGAGTAGACTGTGCCTCGGCAGGCCGCCCAGGTGAGAGTAGAGACAACGTCTCTTCGGATCTCTTCTAGCCTCGATAACTGGTAATCACTAGCGGCCACGGCTGCCGCAGTTTGCAGCATGACGTTCCGCGCCTAATGATCATGACTTTATACGTGGTTTGCATTGACGCCACGTCCGCTGCCATTGCGGGGCTATTGGTGCCAATAGCTTTTTTTTTTTTTTTAATGCGTGCGGTTTGCACCGCGCCGTATTTGTACTTATCCGCAAGAAGAAGTATAGGAATGACCACCAGCATGGCCCGATGACGTCAAGCTACGTTACTGTCACAGATGAGCCGACACCACCTAGACAAGCAGAAGGCCTCCGCACCGTTATCGCAGTCAGATCGATCGAGGCCTGTGATTGGTCACGAGTGCTGTGTCACCGTTCGGCTGGAGCTCGTGTCAAATCAGCGCGTCTAAGGTGGGGCTGGGGCCCAAAAGCCGAGTTAGCGTGATCTGACTTGACGTTTTATGGAGGGAGAGGAGGGCATGCGGAGGCTTTGGTTATTCTAGGTGGTGTTGGTTGAACTCGCATCTGCTGAACGCGTGCTGGCCAGCCTATATAAAATGCTCTACTAACAATTTTACCTTTTTTTCATACCGTCAATATTGTTATTCTTAGTAGACATAAGTAGCACCTCCCTCTAAGCATTCGCCATAAGACCAAAAAAAAAAAAAAAAAAACTCGACCATGGCGCCCATTGATGGAAAAACCAACCGCCAAATTTGGCGAAATTGGGCACTTGTCAGGTGCTTCCCTCGCTTGCTGAATTGGCAACCACGCGCCAGTGCTTGGTGTTTCGGCAGCAAATGGTAAGCCATACCATTATTTGGCCACATCAGAGACACCAACATGCAGACGAAAACACGCACAAAGCACAAGGATGCAACACGAACGCGTTTTAAGGGGGGACACTACCTAGAAAAAACAATTTCTTCCAAAAAAAGTTAAATTTGAAAAATGTCATATTTACGTCCACCAAGATCAAGAAAGTATTCTCAGAAAGTTTCACTAGTTTACACTGCATGGTTAATGCTTCATAAATTATTTTCGGTCCACCGATGCTAAAAAAAAGGTAGAGGTCGGAGCACTTTGAACGCATTTTTCTCCATTCCATTTTTGGCATAAATTTCACTTTAGGAAAACTATCGTTTTGTTATTATGTAACTTGGATTCATTTTTATGAGTTTTTCTGGGGTAAAATTTTAAGGGGAAGATAGCTATGAGCTGGTATTTTTCAAATTTTTGTCATTTTTTTATGCTTAAGAACTAAAATTTGGAACAAAGAATGGAAATCTAAAAAACTGCATTTGTGTTTATCTGGCTTTTTTTGTCATAAAAGATGATATAATATAGAAATATAGCTCCATAGCTATCTGTTCTGAACTGTCCTAAAGCAATATAACACATGAAAACGACACATTTATAAGTAATTTCAGAACGATAGTTTTCCTACGCAGACACGCCCACTTCCATCTTTGAACATTTACAATTATTTTTGTACTTCACCCAGGTTAACAAAATTTGGCACAAATGTTCTCAACATCAACAAAAACAAGCTCTGTAAATGTCATTTAAATCAGACAAGCGGTTCAAACATTCTCCTTTTTGGGTAGTGTCCCCCCTTGATAAAACCCCTAAAAAACATTATTATTATTATATTTTTTGTCGAAAAAAATAATTTTAGGCGAAAAGGAACTATAAAATACGCGATTTAGTCGGCAGTCACCTCCTTTCCATTTGTCTTCTCTTTCGGCATTTCGGGCGTGTGGAGGAGAGGTGGATCGGCTTCGCCTTCACGTTGAGGTGGAAAGGGCCAATGACCATCTCTTTGAGGTCGAAAAAGCGAATGACCATTCCGTGACGTCATGGGCTTTGCGCGCAGAATTTAAAAGAAATCTCTCGCCATCCATATTGCTCTAAATTTTTTTTTTTTCGCGTTACATTTATTTTTGGACACGCGTGTCCCAACCAAACTGTTTAAACAAACATTTTTTCTTTTCTTTTTAGGGGTTCTTTGCATTTGCGTTTGTTGCGCTCGCAAGCAACCGAAATAGCCGTAACGACCAAATCACCGCAACAACCCTGACCCCTTGCATCGCTTGCCATGTTGTGTACGGCGAACACTTGTCCCGGTGACTTTGTCGTTACGGTCGTTTCGGCTGCATGTAAACTTAATCAACACAGATGTGTGAACCAGCTTCTAAAAGGACGCTAATTCTGCACATGTGTGTAAAACAAAAACTTACATTCGAAGTGTATTTTGAGTAACGGTAAAAAGTAACGGCCTTCCTTTTTAGTTACTTTTTCATAGCAGAAAACAATCAAAGAAAAAGTAGAAACTACCCCCCCCCCCTCCCAAGTTTGTTGCGTGTAATTAAAGTGAAGTATGCGTATTAGTTTGTTTTAACCAGCAGTCTTGAAATTGTTGGAAAATATCCCCTCGCTTAATGGTGAACACATCCCTGCCGCAGATGAACAAGCGTGGCTCGTGATAAACTAAGTGTTGGCGCATGGCGAACGTGAAACTCAAAATGTGGGAACACATCACATGGAAAGTGCAAGGAAGGGGTATTGTACTCGCTTGATGCTTTCTAATCTTCAACAAACTGTAAAATAAAACGACAAAAATAACTACGTTCCTTGTTATTCCAGAAAGAGCAACAAAACTAGCCTTTGCTTAAAAAGAAACAACTAAGGCGTCACTGTTAAAGGGGCGGTGCAACGATATTCAATTGGAATGTTTTTCACTTTACACGATCTTACTGGCACTAGTGGGACTCAAGGATACTCGCACGTAACGCCACTGACCAAGAAACTCCTTTGTTGCGCTGTAATTTCGAGGACAAAACCGAGCGTTTTCATTCAATCTCTCCTTCGCAAAACCTGATGACGTAGCTGGGCGGTAGCAGTACCGCCCAGTGACGATATTTGAATGCGGCTCATAGATTGGACCCGAGCATTGCGTGGGCACTCGATTTGGGCTCGTGATAATCCATAGCTCGAGAAGTATTCGGGTAGTGTCCCGTGTCCAATGGCTGCAATGACGACAACAGTCGAACCATAACAATGTCTGGAACGCAGCGCGTGTCCTGGGGTGCTATATTGCGCTTTTTGCACTCCCAGGAGACTTGGAAGAGGGGAGTGACGTCAACGACACAGCAAACGCAGATTGGATGTTGATTTCGTTTTCTTCTGTCAACGCCCGATCTGCATTTGCTGTGTCGTTGACGTCACTTCCTTCTCCCTAGCCTCTTGGGAGTCCAAAAAGCGCAACATAGCACCCCTGTGCCTTGCCAACCCCAGCGCATGGCTATGATCAACATTGGCGGCATATAATCGGCTCCAGATCACGTGGCCGCTTATTCTGCCTGCGAGTTGAAGGGGTGAACTCTGTCGTTTTTCTTTATTTTTTTCTGCGACTTCTATTGCGTGTGGTGAAAAACGAACGGGTATTTCACAGATCATTAACGTCAGGGATCCGTTCTAAGCGGTATTTGCGCAAAATGCAAAAATCGTTGCATCGCCCCTTTAAGAGTTGCCAAATATAGGCAATAAGGTTGCGCGTTACTTGTAGCGAGTTACTTTCCAAGACTGGTGCCACCTGCTTTTCCTGCCTCAGCACGCGTGGCTATGACGAACATTCACGCGACCTGTTGTTCTGACCAATATGTTGACGGTGCAAACGCTGCTCGCTCTTCTTTATTTACTTTTAGTACTCAACCGCCTCCGCGTCGAGAGAAAAACGTGTGTTCCGGTATTAATTCATTTTTCATCATACCTTTGAAAGATTGTTAAAGTTCAAAAATGCCACTCCCCCAAGTTTTCGATACGTGGTCCGGAGGACGCGATTTGAGGACGAGGCTAACTGACAACAATGATCTCAAAGGGCAACCTAAGTGTCGTTATTTTGAAGCGTAATAAGTATAGAGCCTGCGTTCAGCGCCTCGAAGAGCACTCAGTTCCGCGTTCCCCTCGAAGGCCCCGACGACGTCGTCGTCGCCGCCGCCTGTCAAAGCCAAACCGTCAATCAAACCCGGGGTCGAGTGCAGTGTAGAGGTGGTCGCAGTGCACGCACAAAAACGCAAAAAAAAAAGGCAGAAGGGCGCGCACGGGAAGGCGACCGTCCCCTCGGCCATCTCTCTTCATCAGGCAAGTCGACGACCTCCCGACGGCAGTTGACCTCGATTCGAGCGCGGACCCAATTAGCCCGCTGCAGACGGGAGATGACGGGCCGCTGCGGACACAGGGAGCCTCGCCGACCAATCCGACGCTGAGAACGCGTCACGGGAATCCTGCACAGCCGCCGTTTCAGGCAGTTGTTCAGGATTCTCCAAAAATAAAGTGCCCCTGGCCAATCCGTGTTTAGCCCCTTCGCACAAACGTCTAGCGGAATGGGTCTTTCATATTCCTTGAAACTGTACCTAGATTTTATTTTTGCTTTTCAGAAATACGCAGGCATTATACAAAAATAAATAAAGTTCGCAAGCAAGAGAACAACTTCAACTCGTCGGGGCAAAACGCATAACCTATCGTCTGCTTTGTTTCTCGGCTCTTCTGTCGCCTTACCATTTGCCGAGTTGCAAGTTCACATTGGCCGTGTTCCAAAATTTACCCCATCTTACTCAAGGGTAGGGGTTTTGTACCTTGGCGTTCCAAAACCTACCCGCATCAAGCGTTTTTCAATCTGTGCTTACACGTGACACTTTAGCGCCCCGGTGCGACGCGCGGTGAACGCGGTCACGTGACTTGCTCTCGGCCACCGGATTGGCTGGGACGGCTCGATGGCCGTTCGCTGCAGTCCATCTGAGGCGCCCGCGCACTATGCATCCTCCGCCGGCGAAACGCGTGCCAGCCGAGGAAGAAGCTTCTTTCTGGAGACAATTCATTAGCCGTGCAATTAGGCGTCGTGCCCTTTTTGGCGCGAGGCCTAATTGCGTCAGTCGCTTCGACGTCTTTACGTGTTTGTTTGTGTGTATGCGCGCGTTTGTTTTTGTGTGTGTGTTGTCTTCGCGGTGTGTGGCACTACGTTCTCCGGACCACTGTCGGACGCTTGACCATTGCAGGAGGGTCGGAGGTCTGACGAGACGCTGTCGAGGTCCCTCCAAGAGATATCGTCTCTGCGCTCTTCAGGCGAGTATTCAGAATTTCGTGTTGCTGTTTTGTCTTGTTTCTTTTAAACGGCATGTACTTAATATTTTTCATCGCGATATTAAAGACGATACCATAAATTTGATTAACAATAGGGTCTTTAATACACAGACTTTTCAGAAAGAATTTCCTTTCTCAGTGTGTACAACGCGACAGCTGCCGAACATTTTTCTCTCAAAACGTTCGACAACTGTAACAATACAAAAATGCAACACAATTGATACAATTCAAAGAACGCGTCGTCGAGGATGACGTCGTCTAGGACGTCATACTCGACGTTATCCTTAAGATCGCCCTGGAGGTCGTTCTAGACGTCGTCCTCGACGTCGCTTTCAAGGTCGTCCTAGAGGTCGTCCTTGAGATCGCGCTAGAGGACCTCCTAGACGTCGTCTTTTATGCTGTTCTTTAGGACGTCGTCTAAGACGTCGTGCTTGAGGTTGTCCTAGACGAATGCTATCGCAATTCATAGGCAACCAACAGTAGTGGCTTCTGCAGCAATATCTTATCCGCTTGCTCGCTCGTTTGCTCGCTTCAACGCGGCGCGCTCCTGCCTGATTGAAACGGCGATAGGCGCCGCTCCGACAGCCGTGATGTCCACAGTCTTTGCTCATCGCTCTGGACAGCCGCCGAGCGGCCGAGCTCTCGCGTCCTGTGCGGCACGGGCAGTTCACACGCGACCCTCAAGCGCGACTCGGCGAAGCATTAACACCCCCCCCCCCCCCCTTTTCTCATTTCTTGTGCCACCCACATGAAGTTTAACGGAAATTTATGCAGCATAATATACCTACCTACCGCCCAATTTTTTTTTTCCTTTTTTTTTTGGCTTTGTGTTGTTGGCATTGGGTACAACCAAGAGTGACACGCTAACGCACCTTTCAATTAACCAATGCAGTGTCTACCTTGACACCCTAACATTCGAGGGCTGCACACCACGCATAACTCGCCATAATCATCTGTATGGTGCGTAGAAAGGAGAATTGAGCCCTTCATTAAGCGTCAGCAGAACACTGTACGAAACATCAAGTCGCCAATGCTGACAGAAATGCCACGCAATTTTCATTTACCTGGCTACACGTTGTAGCATAAGGGATCGGACCACAATACTATGCCTTTATTATCCCTATGTTTTATTTTCACACACTCAATTAAGCTAAAAGTCTATGCGGACCTCACTTTCAAAGTCAGAAAGTATGTTTATCTCGGTTTTGGCTAGTTGGATATGCCTACACAATATGCATATCCAAGTTCCAACTAGGCTCTAGCCCTTGATTAATATTTTAGGCCTTTTGCTCGCCACAATGCTTTCGTAGGAACTATTTTTTTCTTTTTGTTCTGGAGGATATGGCGATGCTTAGGCTGTACCTAGACTCACCAAGAGCCAGATGCGGTTCCCTGTCGTTCACTGGTGCAGGACTTCAGAAAAACTTCTAATACAAGAACAAACACTGCAATAAAATTTAAACAAACAACAAAAAAAAAAAAAAAAAAAACACAAGAGCCGAAGGTACTGTGCGCCCCTGTATTTTAGAGCCACTATTTTCTGCATTAGGTCAGGAAACATGCCTGACCTATCGTCTGCTTTATTTTTCTGCATTTCTGCTGCTATTTTTGGCGTTCTTTCTTTCGGGAAGCCCGGCGCTTGCTCTCAACGTGCAATAACGTAGGCAAGCGGCTATGTGCGAAAAGGCCTGAGCAAAGCCGAAGTGATCAATTTGGTGTAGGGCACCTACCAGAGACCATGCGTGGGGCCCAGATCACAAACCAGTTTTGTGGTTGCGTTTGGTTAGGGACTTGTGAAAAATCAGCGAGGACACACGTTCCAGCCAGACGCTGCCCGCATTACTTGCGTGATGGTCTACCGTTTCAGGAGCGCGAAACCGTAAACGGTTAGGTTAAGTTAGGTTAGATTAGGTTAGGTTCGTACGGGATTTTATGTTAAGGTCACGCGGGACTTCTCACGTCATGGCACGCTTTGAGTCAGACCAGTGGAACATCTTTGCACTTGCGCGGCTCTTTATTCTTCTATGGACGTTGCCCTGCTGCAGCCCTGTGACGGAGAAGCCAGCGACGTCCGGCAAGCACAGTGCTCGAGTTTCGACAACGTGCCATATGGGGGACAACGCTACGTCTGGAAGGCTATACTACCAGGTGTCCACCACCCTTCCACTCTGCTCACGCATACTGTAAAACAAATTATTCTCGCGTGCGAGTTCTGGGCGCTTGCCATAAGTGTTGTGGTGAGACCTGATTTGCACGCAGAGCCGGAGGATTGCCAGCTCCAGTGCCGTCCCGAGGGCCGCGGGTTCAAGGCCACCCTCGCCAAGGTGGTCAGGGACGCCACCCCTTGCTCCGCTGGGCTAGACGAAGGCGTCTGCATCGGCGGAACTTGCAAGGTGCGTGAAGCACAACCCCTGGCGGAGACGTTTCCCCGGGCGGAACGGATGTCCCGTGAACGTCCACAGAACAACTAGGGAACCCTCACACGGGTCGTATTTCATACCAAAGACACGTAGTTTTTCTCCTGACACGTCTCGCGCACGTTCGAAGCTGGTGTTCTTCGTACCATGTCTAAAGACCGTCGTACAAGGAAAAAAAAATGCCTTTGATGGTGTCTCCAAACTGTCTTCTGTATGATGTATTGGCAGTGAGAACCCTGCTGTAGGACATTCCGAAGATGCCCGCACAACCGCGTGTGCAGCAAGGTTTCACCAAGATCGCGGGGTGTCGAGTTTAAAACGTTTTATATGGATCTTGCCCCTTTCGTGTTGGTCGCACCGTAACAAGGTCATGGGAGAGAGTGTCACCAACTTTGGCGTTGGCCTCATAGCGCAAGCGACTAATGGCCATTGCTCTCTCTGTCTCTCGCTCTCCCGCGTTGTTGATCTGCGTATTAATGCTATCGTACCTTCACTGACTTAACCTTTAAGCCGGACGACTTCTCCAAAGAGACCGCTCAATGGCTTTCCCTCTTCCAGGGCGTTTCGAAGCAATCGAATGAAAATAAATGAAGGACAACGAGCCTAAAATTTTTGTTGGCGATCGAGGACGAGGAGTTTGATTCCAACGTAATGGTCTAGCTTACAACTACGGCCCAGCACCCGCTTGTTTGTCGTTTTTGAAAGCAAGGGTGACGCCTTCCTTTAGAAGAGAAGCGCATCCGCTCTTTGAAATTTTATATCTAAATGCATGTTTCTGCACCCGCGTGTCCTCACGCGCTAGTTGTCTCGTATCCCACGATGGAATAGTAGCAATATAGAGCTAGTAAAATTCGAACTCAGTGGACCATGTCCCTAATTCATAAAGAGACACACCAAAAGAAGAAGAAAAAAAATCGTTTAAACCATTACCTAAAATCAGAATCTAAAAAAGACTGCCGTTGTGGAGTAGAAGTCGAATCAAGTGATCCTTCTCATCCCTTGCAGTACTACCTCAGCATGTCGAGCGGACATATGAGGCCTCTTTTTACGACTGCTGACGGGAAAGATCATTCAATCTGCAAAAAGAAGCGACCAAGCCGCGCTCTTTTTGTGTAATGTTTTCGTGCCTTATAAACGTTTGTACAAAGAATCTGAAAGGATCGAGGACGCTTTTGGGGCTATTAACATGCATCAAGAGCTTTTTTTTAATGTAAATTTTAGAGCGAGTTTCTCAAAATGTGAACCATAGTATTATATGCCATGACAGTTTTGATCTAAAGAAATTATGAAAGCGCGTCAGCATACTTCTTGGTGCACAGTTCTGGTTTCCAGAACTCACACACCCAACCCTCCCGTGCCTCAGGGCAGATATATCATCTATATTCGTTGCCACACCAAAAAACGTTCGTAATTCATACGCTGCGTGAAGTATTTTTTTTTTTATAGGATTTGATGGTTGGGAAAAGAAACGATATTTTTGGGCCTTTGGGACGTCTTGAAAAAAAATAACATATAGCCAGTGTTGTAGGCGTTACCGAAAAACAAATAAAGTAACGAAATACGTCACTCGTTACTTGCAAATAAAAGGAACGCGTTACCGACCTACGTTACCTCAAAATAAAAGGAACGCGTTACCGCTACCGATAAAAAGTAACGTACGTTACTTTTGCGTCACATTTTTTTTTAAATTATGAATTAACGCGTTTTACTGTTTTGACGGTACAGGTACACATAAGCGTCATGTTTCCAGAAACATCATGTTCATGGAGAAACTGAACATAATTACTTCATATTTTCTACGGCTTTACCTAAATACTCAAGAGAGAGAAAAAAAAAGCAAAGTAAAACGGAAAAGACTAAAACAATTGACATGGCTTGGCGCCTAAAAACACGAAACCAAATTAAGAGTAATTTTTTTAAGTCTTCGGAAGAAGTAACCAGTAACGAAACTGCATTACCCGTTACTCGAAATAAGTAACGTAAGTACGTTACCCGTTACTGCTTTAAAAAAAAAGTGACGGGTACGTTACTACGTTACCGAAAAAGTAACGTGTTACCGGTAACGCCGTTGTTTACAACGCGTTACCGCCCACGCTGTACATAGCTAATCTAAGAATGCACCGACATATATCTCAATCCGTTACACGATTAGTATGGTGACTAAAAGAGTGAGGACAGCATGACCATGCTTGTCTTTCGAACGTCAGCACGCGCTCCGTGCCTTCCTCCGTGCTTTGGCAGCACGTCTTCTTCGGCGTCTCGCACACCATTAGCAGGTTTGTGGAAGGTATAGAAGCCTGCGCTGGAGGCGGGGACAACAACTCAAGCCCCTTCCTACCGTTCTCCCTTTGGCAGGGACTATAAATCTCGTCGGTACATAGAGTCCACTTCAGTCCCCTCTAGTCGGGATACTTTGCAAAGCGAGGTTTTCTCTCGTTTATTTCTAAGAAAACATATCTGCTCTAGGGAGATTGGTGGCCGAGTGTGTGAACAAACCTACTGCAGCTCGGAGCACGTGGAGCGAAAGCCCGCGGTGCAGAACCCAGGGATCTTGGGTTCAAGCCCCACCCTAATGTCCCTTTCATTCTTGATGGTAGGTAGGAACCTTTATTTCACTTTTTTTTGCATTAAGAAATGCTGCGGTAAAAGGGTTTAGGGTACAGGAGCAGGGGACAGGGGGCTTCCATTCTTCTCTGTTGGACCGGTTGGTGCGACGGCGTGGGAGGATAGATGTGCGGTAGGTTCAGGCCTGGTGTTTCGCCTGGGCTCAGTGGTGGAGAGCTGAATGAGCATTGTATACCGCGGCTCGCGGTCGTGTGTCACCACTGCGTGGTGCACGTTGAAGACTCCAGGCTTGCGGTGGTACAGTATGCTGGCAATATTTCTCGTATGCAGCGGAGACGGCAGGGGCTCATTCTCGCTGTCTAAACATACACACGATGGAGTTTTGAACCCCCACGCTTTGAGTTCCCTACCCGGACAACGCAGGGCCCATGTGCAGCGCGACGCCCTATACGCTATTTGGGGTTCTTGCGAGCTCCATATACTCTAAAACTCGCCCACTTTTCAAACGTGCGCGCCATCTAGTTGTTGCTGTGCCAATTATCTGAGTCAACTCGGTCCAGCTCGTGTACCGAGAACGAGTGTCCCGTGTCGGCGTTCGGCGAGGGCTCGCATTCAACGTCACCTTCGTGCCCAATGGATGGATGAATGTTAACGACTATACCCTTTGTAACGGGCGGTAGCTTGCGCCACCGAGCGTAAGTGTAAAAAAACGAAAACATATGATTCCTCCGGCCCTTCTAAGCCAGTTTTCTCCCCTATCACCAGGCAGAAACGGCGGACCAGTGTTGCTTGATGGATTTTTGAAAAAGGACCGCGACATTTGACGCGCTCTTCTTGCAGATACTGGGATGCGATCGGCTGGTGGGTTCTCGGCAGCGGGCTGACCGTTGCGGCGTCTGCGGAGGGAACAACTCCGGCTGCCGTACTTTCTCGGGGATCCTCACCCACCGGGAGCTTTCCGAGGACTACCAGGTGCTCGTCAAGATCCCTGCCGGTGCCACGGGGATCGTGGTGTCCGCCCTGGGAAACAGACTCGGTGCGTACTCTGCGAGGTCTTCGGCCAACGGTATACAATCCGATTGAGCTGATCGAACAGCGTCAAACGTCATGGCGCGCTCGTAGTTTTTGTCCTTTTGTTATCCCCACCTAAACGAATTACAGTAGGCTCGCGATACTTCAAACTCGGATATTTCGTACTTCCGCTTAATTCAAACAGATATGAAAATGGTGGTTGTCCCGCTATGTTTTAATGTATTTATAAGCCGCTTAATTCGAACGGCGTTTTCGCTTAATTCATACTTTTTTTTTTGTTTTCGCGGCCCCGTTGAGTGCGCTTCTTTCCGAGCACCGGTGCACCGCAGAGAAGCAATACCCGCGGAGCTTGTTTTTGCGAGTGTTGCTTCTCCGCAGTGCACAGATGTTTGGAAAGAAGCGCACTCAACGGGGCTTAAGCAGGCACACATTAGCGGAAAACGGCATTCACATTATTGAACAAAAAGTAAAGGCGCAAACGAGCTGGCGAACGAGCAAAAACCCCGAGACTGCGGGTAAACGACACAACACTAAGAGACGTTTTAGTGTTGTGTCGTTTACCCGCAGTCTCGGGGTTTTTGTAACCATTCACATTATGTGCTTCAGGACTAGCAATGATGACCAAGACGACATCGAGGATGAGGAACAGCTCACTGGCATCATGCTTTCTGGCCTTGAAGCACATAATGTGAACGCCGAGCTGGCGGAATATGCTAGTCTTGACGATGATCTGTGTGTTTGTCGTGATGACTCATTAGAGGACATAAGGAAGTAATGTCAGCACAGTGCAGCAGTGAGAGTGAAGATGATGATGAAGAAAGGGATGACCCACTACCAACTGTCACAGCCATAGCTTTGAGCACATCGCTCAGCTCCGGAAGTTTCTGTCTGCAAAGGAAGAGCCCCGTAAAGAGCTACTTGCGTTGGCTGGTATTGAAAATTTTGTTTTGAGATCTCATGTACTGACTAAACAGTCCACAATCGACAACTTTTTGCCGGATGAATAAACTTAACGTCACAGTTCTTTCACCAATGTGTTATGCCTATACTTGCTTATAATTAGGCCTATGTAGAGGAAACTGGCAAAAATCTGCTTTGTATGCGTAGCTATCCATGTAACAAATCATAATGTTGTCTGGTATCATATTTAGATGAATTTCTGATAATTCTAACTTCTGGTAATTCAAACTAAAATTTGTGACTTCCTGGAGTTTGAATTAATGAGAGTCTACTGTACGCACAGTCACTGCCCCATGATCCTGTTGTTGGTGTTGTTGTTGTTTTTCTGCGCGTGATTGGTCTATAGACCAACTCGAGTTGGTCAACTCTTTGAAGTCACGCCACTACCGTGGCGCTGTCGTCGGCATGCGCGGATGCTTTGCCTGACGTGAATCTGGTTTTTGCGCATGCGCAGTGTACACACGTGGTGTGGGCAAACGCGAGCTTGTTTGTAAACGGTGTGCTGGTCTATAGACGATGCCCTCTTTGGTGCGGATCGATTGACTTAACTACATTGTTGCGTCGGCTGCGGTTCGACTTGATGTGAAACGGAGTATAGCCTATTTCTCAATTTTCGCTAAAACAACAACACACACAAAAAAAAGAAAACATAAAAATCAGGCGAGCTAGAATTTGAATCCACCTTTTTAAGCGGAAAGACGCAACAAAGGAAACCGAACAAAAATGTATGGACGCATGTCACGGCTGCAACTGAGCTGAGCAGCAACTGAGCGGTTAAAACTGCGTCAACATCGTGGTTTGCATTGTTCTCCTGCTCGTTGTTTTTAGACCGCCTGATTGACTGAATCTTCTCTTTCTGTTGACCATGATACAGTGCATAGTTGTGCATCCCTGTCCTATTGAGGCCGCCTGGGGGGAGCGGCCACCAAACGGATCTACGCCAAATACACCTGTGGTGTAGGTGGCGTAGAAACCTATGAACTGAATTCGACGTTCGTGTTTAATTAGCGTAAGGTCAATCTGCCTTTGTGGCGCGCGACGACACTGGTTTAATTACGCTGTGTGTTTGGAAATTTAGCCAGTGTGCTACGATTGCTATACCTGGGGTTTTTAACGCGTGCATGACGCCGGTACGATGCTCATCCATGTCGAAACGGGCAGGGGTGGGGGATTGGACCCAGGATACCTGGGTACTGCAACGCTAGCTTTCGCTCCTCGTGCTCCGAGCTGGCGTTATGCCCACCGATTCATATGGTGCGATTTTACTTGAGATTTCGCACTTTCGGCGTAGCTCGTGCGGCAAAAAGTACGTGAGGGAGGCTGCGATGCTCAACGCCGCAGCTGGAAAATCGCAACAAAAAAAGTTCGCACCTTGTGAGTCGATGAGCCCAATTTGCATGGTGCGATTTTACTTGCAATTTCGCAGCTGCGATAAAAGCGTGCTGGAAGCTACGATGCTCCCCGCCGCACTTGCAAAATCGCACCGTGTGAATCGGGCCTTAACTCATATAGTGTGTTTCTAGACGCAACTTCGGGCGTAAAAAAAAAAAACAATAAATTTTGTACAAATAAATCTATGAACGAAGTGCGATGAAACCTTTCACAAACATCTCTTTAGGTCGTACATTAACCATACTAAAACTTCAACGGTGTAAGTTTTATGACAAAAGTGTGAGACTAAAAACTCCCGCTTTTGTTCTATGCGCAGTAAGTAACTTCGGCAGAAACCGTCGGCTGACGCTGCTGTTCTCAAATGGCATACAACGCAGGCTCGGTTCTGCAGCTGGATCTGCTTTCGGGTGTTCATCTCAATAAAGCTTTCAAGTTCTTGCCTTATGTTGTGCCATCTGTGATTGTAGCAGCCGTGACGGTTTTTACCGTTTTCCTCCCTGATGTGAGAATAATTACTAGAAAACACGAAAAACACGGATGGGCATAGTTCATGTTTTCTATTTGTCCTGGCACCTTTAATGTTTATTTTTGTTTTAACATTTTAGCGTTGGGGATTATGAACAAACTGGCCCAAACAAAAGTTTTTATTCAGAAGATTTTGATAATTTTTTTATTGTTTGTTTAATGCTGATTAAATTTTGGTACAATCAATGCACCACTGAATTTTCGAAAGGGTTTTATTGCACTCAGTTTATTGGTGTACTGATAGGAATTTGCGCACGCCCTAACAGCGCTGGGAAACACTCGGGAGATCATGGGACGTCTCGGCACGACTGTCGGTAGCCGATCATCCAACGGTTTCACTGCAAGCCACTTCAGCTTATTTCAAGATATAGAGTAACGGTTCAGTTAAGCTAAAATTGTTTCCCGAGACTATAAAAAAAAAAAAGAGAAAAGATTCTTCGAATGCAGCGGGAAGTTTCTTTGTTGCGATATACAGTTAGGTCGTACATTTTTGAACGTACATCTATGAGAAAAATCGATAGATGATTTTCTGTGTTTTGTTTCTATTTTCAAATATTGCTTTGTTTGTGTGACTTGCTTCAAATGGACGCTATAAACGGTGGTTATCGGTGAGAAAAACCTGACAAAAAATCTAACAGTTAAGTATAATATTTTTCTTAAAAGCGGAAAGTCTATACCGCCTATCAGTAATTGAGCACAATGCCTTTCAGCCGTATACGATGGCAATTGGGATAGTGGAGCACGCCTGACACTGGTAAAACTCCCATCGATATTTAAATCGAGAGCAGTCAAAATTTTACTCGTACCATTGTTGTACCTGGGGCAAAACTCGAATGACCGAGTTGTCCAGTGCTTCTGGTCGGCGACGAAAACCTTGAAAACTTGTGGCCGTCTCGCAGCACTCCGTGCAGTCGACGACGGTCGGTTCATCGTGAACGGGAACTGGACCTGGGATCCGGCAGGAGTGTACCCCGGGGCTGGCACCCGATTCCTGTACCGACGAGAGGATTCTACGGGGGCCCACAGCCTCGAAGCACGGGGACCTCTTCACGGCGACGTCCTCGTCATGGTCTGTCGTCACCTCCTGCATCCTCCGCTTAAAACATCGTACCCTTTCGTATCTTCTTTGAAACGATGTGTTCGTGAAATCGTTTCCTTCACACTTCCTGCACCGACCTTTTAGAGACAAACTCTGCTGTTTGTTAATGCACATTCCAGTGGAATTTATTGAAAGCTTTTGATTCCGATTTTTGAAATGTCATCTTTTTTTTTTTCTTCTTCTTTGAGTTAATCGTGGATATTATAAAAATATTCGCCCCTTTGCTGCATTAGCGTGGCAAACGCCGAATGTGACGTATTAGAGTGTAGAACTTGTGTACCCATGGGGAGACTGGAAGGCCAGGAGGGGCCTTGTGTCGTGCAAAGCAAGCAGGTGTAAATGCTCTGTGGATGTTTTACTTGCGGGTGCACCTTCTTTTGAGGTTGAAGTATAAATGCGACTTTCTCAGAACCTGTCGGAGTGGGAGACGCAGTAGACGGTGCGTGCGGAAAACAGAACAGTTGGAACGAAGCATCGAAGAGCAGAGCCTCGGCACCAGCTTACGGCAAAAGGGAACCAGACACTCGGAACCACCTAAACCTTCACATTAACTGAAGAGCGTGTTGGAATCATTGACTGAAGTGCGTGTTGGTAACATTCTTTCCTTGCCAGTCACTTTAACCTGTTGCCGCAAAGGACTCTGCTTTTTTGTCGCTCTCCCTCTCTCTCTCTGGGGAAGCCATAGTCACACTACTAATGTATCATACAAAGGACACTCTGAAGACGCTGTCTGAGGCACGTTTCTTTCTTGTGCCCCGCCCGACTCCGTCGGATGGATGGATGGATCGATGAACACCTATTGTATTCTTCATAACGGGCAGTAGCTTACGCCACCTAGCCGGTCACACTACTAATACATCATACAAAAGGCAGTCTGCAGACGCTGTCTGAGGCACGTTTCTCCCTTGTATTCTGGTCATGTCACATTGGCGGTCACACAAATAATCTCTGCAGACCGAAGCACAGATGACCCCCATGCGTGGCCGTTCCTTTGCGCAGCTGGCCTTCCGGAGCCCCAACCCCGGCGTGAACTATACGTACAGTCTGCGCCAGGCCGGGGACTGGCCGGCTTCGGACGGCCCGGCCGCGGTGCCGGGACGCTTCCTCAGGCGGAGCAGGGACGCTCCCCGGTGGGTGCCCAAGGCGTCCTGCAGCAGGAGCTGCGGTGGAGGCAAGCGCTCCCGGTCACTTGTGTGTTCAGCGTTCTATCCCGCCTGCGCTTCAAAAGTGGTCCCGAAAGTGGCAACAAATGACGTCACTAAAGCCGGGCCTATCACGCTGTCGGACGTCACGATCCTGGCGGTTGGAGCTAGAAGTCTGGGCAAAAAGGGAGGAGCGAACGGGAGTGCCGCGGTCGTCGCTTGCGTCCTAGCTCCTGTATAGCTTTCGTGAACAGACAATCTGGAGAGGGACCTGCAGCGGAACAGGTAGTCTGGATCGCGGCCGGCGACGACACTTTTATAACGTCATTCTGGAAATGGAGAGACCACTTCTTAGGACGCGGTGAACGCGCCAGTCGGAGACGCGGCACCGTACCATTGCGGAGCCGCAGTCTGAAGGGCGTACATGACGTGCGCCGTCTGCAAATACTCTTTTTTAAGCGAAGGCGCAATCGAATGCACGGCCACACGATTCTGGTTCCCGCTCCACTGCCGAGTCTTGCCGGGAGAAACAAAAGTTACCAGGGTGCCCGCAGTAGCCCGGTGGCGCTGCGGCCATGGTTAAACATGGTTAAACACTAGAGAGCCTCAAGTAAGAGTGTGCTCAACTAAAACCACGGAGAGCGTTTTCAGTTTAATGGCGGTGTTAGAGATGGAGGATTGTACACTTTTTCGCGTTTAAAAAATACTTATCCTATCACAACAAAAATGGTGTCTAAAGAAAAGAAGTTACGTTGAAAAACCACCCGTAGCCCTATAGACCCACAGCAAAATTTTTGCAATGTAATGGCGCCCATAAACACGTACATACGCCGGGCGAGCAGTTGAACACGCTCTTACTTGAGCCTTACACCGCACGAACTATCTCGGGGTTGGCCAGTACGTTCCGCTTTGACAACCTTTGCCAACCATTTTCACTTTCCTTACGTTTACTAAAGTGTAGGTGCTGCCTACCGATACGGATAGAATGCTGGGAGGCGGTTTTTGTGCTCCCGATGTGCCGTAGTTTGTGTGGAAGTGAACTTAGGTGGACTTTGACACTTGGGAAAAGAGGATGTGTACTGGGTCGGCCATCCCGTTTAATCCTCTCCTCTCAATGTCCTGGGCTCCTTATATTATCCGTGAACCGGGAGGGTCATGCTGTTCTCTGAAGTGGTCGTACCCCTGCTCCTCTCTAAGCTTAGGAAGGGTTATTTCAACGAGGGCTGTTCCAAAGCGCCAGGCAGGCGATCGCTTACTTTACTTTTATGCAGTCCTGAGATGCACTACTTTGTCAACTGGACAATCGGAACCATAAGACACTCCTCTCCATGGTCAACCAGGTCCCGTAATGCAACGCGCTAAGTGTTGCGAACAAGGATTGTTCGATATTGTCTATTTCATCGAAGGGCTTTATTTTATCAAGGTGTAGCTATAGGGAGTATTCACTGGCGGCCTATATCCCTGCGCGCTGCTGCTGAGCGCGTGCTGACGGCGAGCTTCCACAGTCCTTTTGGAGCGTGCATTTAACACCGTCAAGGTTGCCTGTCTTAGCGGGCTATTAATGTGAGCTCGTTCTGAGCACGCGCTTTAAACATCGCCCTCAAATATGGCGTCCAGTGAATACCTCCTACAGGAGCTATATGAGCCTCGCGCCACTTGTAGCAAGTGGCGCGAGGCCAGATCAGAGCAAAAGTATTGCCGCAGTCTCATATATACTGACATAGCCTGGCAGATCGCCACAAGAAGCGACCACCGAAATGGAAAAGGGGGAGCGGCAGACAACGGAGGAGAGAAGAGACACGTGACTGGCGCCCTACGCCGAAACACACTTCTCCCTAGCGAACAAGTGTGTCTCGGGTCCTCGCCGCTGCAAAAGCTATGCGCTGACGTCCAGGTTCCCCGAAAAAATGGCTCATTGAGGCTCTGTGCTACTAGATCCTCGCGCTCCAAACCTGTGACCGGGCACTCTATGGCTCCGTCGTCGAATTGCCAGGCTTTGTGAGTACAGAGGAGGTTATGGTATTGCTCATATCCGCTGGGCTTAACCCCAATGCGACAAATTCAGAAGCTGGATCGCAGCGAAGTTGCAGTGATCAAGCGGCCGTGGTTATATGAGTCAGGGACAGCAGAAGAGGCTTGGGCACGTGAAATTAAAAAAAACTAAAAACTAACTAAAACATCGTGCATTCTGTGGGCGCATGCCTACACATGTCGAGTCCCTCGCTGCTTAGTGGAAGCTTACGATGAGCTTCCACGACGCTTCTCCAACGTGCATTTCACACCATCATCAAAACTGCAGTTGTTCCCAGAAAATAAGGGGGGGCTCGCTGTGAGCCTGCGCTGTGAACGGCGCGCTCAAACGTGGCACCCGGTGTAGAAGAGTGCAAGTAGGGCATCTGCCCGCCACCATTTCTCTGCTTGTGCGTGCAAGTACGGTGTATTGAACTGTTAAATATAACGCGGGAGCGGTGGCCGGAGAGACTGCATGCGTCATCTGCCGGCCCGCCCGTGACAAAATTCTGTATGAGGGGGAGGGGGGAGAGGAGGCCCCAGCAAAATGGAGGATTTCGGGGGAGGGAGGGCCGGGCCCCATGCCCCCCCCCCCCCCCCCCCCCCCCGGTTAGCTAGGTGCCTGATGAGGAAGATACATAGAAAGGGGGACGGACAACAAGGACTTCCAACAACACTCATCTTCTGAATTCACCAACTTAGGCAAACCATCCCCCTGCCGTAAATTTGGCTAAAGGACTCCCTCGTAGGAAATTTGTACGAAGCAAGCGCTCTATTAGAAACGCGAGGGGGAAAAAATGAGAGACGTTTACACCACCCTGTAAGGCCGAATTAGAGCGCAGCTTTTGAGGAGGAGGAGGCAGGGGTACTGAGGGGAGGATATACCCCTCCTCCCTCCTCCTTACCACCTCATCCTCCCTGCTACTCCTCCTCCCCTCCTCCTAACTCCCCCTCCTCCCCCTCCCCTCCCACTTCTCTTCCTCCCCTTCCCCTCGTCCTCCTCCTCCCGGCGTGTTGCATCATTCAATTCAATTCAATTCGTTTTATTTACTCCCATAATACAAAATGGGCAATGGAGGCAGGAGAAAAAGCTGACGAAGCCCCTGCCCCCTACAGGGGGCAGGGGCTTCGACATTTCGTGGGAAATGTCCCATAATGCACCGCGCGGCAACCTCGTGACGTCACTCCTGACGTCACGTGTGACGTCGCGAGTCACGTGAGTACCGCATAAGTGGATCTTGTTTAGTAAGTGCGTGAGGCACGCGCCCAGCATGCAATACAACGGCAGATGACGTGACTGCGGTGTGGTGCCTGACGCGAGGGTGACGTTGGCTGCAGGATTCCGCAAGCTGTCCCCGAGCTGTGTGCGGGACGGCGTCACGGTACCCGAGGACGAGTGTGCGGGCTTGAACAAGCCCAGGGACTCCACCGCGGAGCCCTGCAACACGCAGCCGTGTCCAGGCGGGTGAGCGCTTTGCCACGTCCGATTGCTTTCGATTTCGAGTATAGAATAAAGTGGACGCATGCCGAGGCAACGACCCATTCAAATTACGGGTAGTGCAGTCGCGCTACTTGGCTCATACTTGTTCGTCTGGACAGCTGAAACTTGACGAGACTGAAGAATTGGACCGAGGCGCCGCACTTTATATACCCTGCATCTTTCGTCAAAGTTCAACGGTCCACATTACCGACCGTATCAAAGGCCATGCTTGGTGCATCTTCGTACTGTTTCGGTACTTTGCTCAACTCCATAACGTACTGTTTCGGTACTTTGCTCAACTCCATAACACTGTCTGCAGGCCGCTATATTTTTTCGGTCGCTGCGATTCGGGGATGTAAATAGAAATTGTTGTTATCGTTATTGCCGATCATCAATTACAAGCCACTCCAGTCAGGTATCTAGGATTGCTGAGTTTTTTAAAAGTTACACATTTCTTCATCGTAAATACAATAGCGTCGTACGCGAAATTATAGTTCGATTGCTTACAAGCACGGAACATCAATTGCATCTAGAAAAAACAGCATTTCTCGCTCAATTCATTAAAATATGCAAACTTCCTTGCTGTGGTAACCGCAGAGGGCTGCCAATTCACACAGTGACATTTAATTGCGTTTTACTACGGTGCGGAAATACAACTGTGTGTCAAAGCTCGTTTACACATAACCGTTTGAATTACGTTTTGTTACGTTAGAAGCAGGTTGCGCCTGCTTACGTCGAAAATCACCGGGATGTCCACGAGGTGTATGAAGCGTTGGAACCAATTCAAAGAGTAGCTTTTCTCTCGACATACGAAACGAGTTCAAAACGTACTGTCAAATAACATGATCAAGCGCTCCTCTGCAAATGGGCCTTTGCCATGAAATCCCTGCGTCTGTCAGGATACTTCTCGAATTGTTAGCTACGCTTCGTATACGAAGCGTAGATGTCTCGGTAACTCGCGGTCGAATCTCGACGCAAGTCCGCAACTTTGAATGGCCCCGAACACCCTTTTTTTTTTTTTTTTTTTTAATGCGAAAACATTACCTGTATCATGGAGCGAGCTGACGTCATCGGTTTGAAGCTCGAAAACGGCTCCTGGTTTCCGGCGCCTTCGGTTCCATTGGCTGGTGCGCGTCGACGGGGCTCCCATTGGCCGCTGCGCCATGGCCTCCGAGAACCCGAAGCGCGCGCGCGCGAGTACGCAGCAGACGACAAAGGGAGCGGACAAGCAGACGACAAAAGGAGCGGACGAGCGGCTTGCATGCTTTCGAATTCACAATTGACAAAAAATGCTTAGGTGTACCTCGAGCTTTTTAACCTGTTTTAACGCAGTATGTGTTATATATGTGGCCCCTAACCATATCCGGTTATGCGCCAGCCAAGCGCTGACGCTGTGCTCGTCTCCTCACTGATTGGAAAAGCAGTGGCAGCCGAACCCCTTCCTCCAGTGCCTCCGAGTTACTCCCGGCGGTGGTCAAACGTCACGAGCGGGAGAGGAGGCCCAGTAAACTGGAAGATTTCAGGAAAGCGGGCCCTATGACCCCCCCCCCCCCCCCCCTCCTCCTTCTCCCCCGCTCTGGTCCGTGGAACGAGCGCGGTTCGGGCTTCCACAGGAAGAGAGAGAAATTTAAAAAAACGAGTGACAGAAAAACAGATTTAATAAAGGAGACCAATTTGCTACAATACTTAAGAAACAAGCGAGCTGGTGGTGATTCACGGTAATAAAAAGCCGAGTCTGAGGAACACAGAAGGGGACGAACACAACACAATGTCTTAGACGTTGTGTTGTGGTCGTCTCCTTCCGTGTTCCTGAGTCTCGGCTTTTTATTACCACCGATTGCCGCAACAGGTTGAGGTAGTTCCGAGTGTTTGGTTCTCTTTTTCCACGAGCTGGTGCCAGGGCTCTGCTTGGCGATGCCGCGTGCCAATAGACCAATCTCACCGGCCAGTTTGACTACGCCACCGCTGCCGCAATGCATCAAGGAATTTTTAGTCTTTCAACCCGTGCGGCAACCTCGCTGGAGCTCTGCGCGTGTAGAGCACAAGACGACATGAGCCGTCTCGTGCACTACCACCTTCCTCCTGTGAACTAAAGTTATGGCGGCGTCACGCATGCGCCGAACGCTTGGTGAGATCGGTCTATTGTTCTATTTTTCCGCGCGCTCCGTCTACTGCGTCTCCCGCTCCAACAGGCTCTGAGAAAGTCGCATTTACACTTGAACCGCAGAAGATGGCACCCACAAGTAAGACATCCACAGAGCGCTCACACGTGCTTACTTCGTACAACACATGGCCGCGCCATCAGGTCTTCACATGTGTACACACTTTCTTCACACTAATGCGCCGCATTCTGCGCTACCATTGCCTTTGCCACGCTAATACTTCAAAGGGAAGATACTTGTTTTTTGTTTTTTTTATCTATATCGTTATTTTTTTTTTCTCGCTCTTAGCGGCGTGTACGGTGCCCACTGGAAGGCGACCAGCGATTGGACGCCCTGTTCGGTCACGTGTGGCGAGGGCTTTGAACGTCGTGACGTCACCTGCGTCGACGCCAAGGGCGGAGCCCTGCGCGAATCTGCGTGCGGCACCGCCGGAAGACCTCCCGCCTTCCGCAACTGCGACCGGGGGCCCTGTGGCGACCAGTGGAACACCGGGCCGTGGGGAAAGGTACGGGTCACGTGGGGAGAAAGAGGGGAGGGGGGGTTCTTTTAACACTGCGAACTATAGGAAAGGAGCGGGCATAACTCTAGCCCTTACGAGGGCGCCCCTTGCGGCAAACAGATCGTTTTCCAAGGCCAGGATTCTCGGACATTTGCTTTAGTTCTCCGGGGTGCCCCTAGATGGCGCGATGAGCAGAGTAAGTGGCGGAGAGTGGAAATGGCGGGCCGCTCCCCAGCTGCTCCGCTCTCCCTTTCGGGTGCCGTGGTCAACTCGGTGGCTCGTTACAACAGTGGCGTATCGTTACGCTGGTCGTCTGCTTGAGCACATTGCTACATCCATTTTACCCTCTTCGAGAGGAAGAGGCTCTGAAGCAATAAAACGCACACGTTCTTTCGCTTGTGCTTTTATTTATAATTTTTGTGATGAAGACCCTTCCTGCTTGCTAAAGATGTGTGTCTCGTCAATGTGTATTGAACCTAAAATATTAAATAGGTAAGAAATATTACTAAAACGGGATAATAATTTTCTTTGCTCCTAAAGTGAGAGCTCTCCGGCATAGAGGAAAGGCACAAAGTGTGAGATCTTCCGCGGTTCCATGCCCTTTCCCCGTTCCTCTTTCTTATTGGAACTATGTAGGCGCTGTTTTGTAACGTAAAATTTAAGGCTGTCGTAATTGCAGCAGAGTGCACAACTGACTGCGATTACGGCGTCTCTGGAGATACAGTTTATGTTTGTTTTCACGTTGGTCAACAGTCACCACATCCCAGTGACGTACCTGGAAAAGAGATTTCTGAGCCCCTTTCCTTCCGTTTGACTACACCCCCCCCCCCCCCCCCCCCCAAGAAAAAATGCCTGGCTACGCTACTGCCAAACACTACATAATATTTTAGTTGCGGTTTCCACTACAGTGTGTTTTCACCCACAGTCGAAACTCTATTTTTTGACTCAGCATCTGCATGCTTGAAAAGAATTTTTCGACTTTTATATGCGATTTTTTCCCCCACAAAGAAAATTTTCATGACCCGGCAACACTGCAACCCATCACGAAATATAAGCAGTAATATCGCATTCACAGTGGCGGTTGAGGCGCTTTTGCGAAGCGGATGCGAACGCCGTTCGAAAAGCGGCGTCGTTCACATACACCGAGCCGCTTTTGGCGGTTGCTCGGTAGTTATCCATTTCTTCGAGAGTTTACCAGACTTCCATCGGGCAACCTTGTTTTAGAATCCAAAATCCAGTTTAGTTTTCGATCCAAATCCAAAATATTTTCTCGGAAAGCCCCGCACACGCCGCACACGGCAGAGCTCGCATAGCAGCATTCTTTTTGCGCGCATCCGGACCTCGAAGATACCCGAACAACTATTTTATTTTTCGATGTGGACTCTTCTTTTGTGAATAGGCTGACCTCAATCTCTAAATTAAAAAGCCAGCTTTGTCCTCCCGCTTCCCGCGTCGCCCGCTTGCCATCTTCGGAGTGGTGTGCGTCTGTGTGCTTCGTGGCGAGTCATTACTCAGAACCTTCTAATTATTTAGCGAGTTGGTTGCAGTTTGGAGCGGATATGTCTTCGTCGGTCTGATGCTGTTGCACCCGTGTGTTTGTGTTTGTGCTTCATGGCGTGTGGATTGTGTTTTGAGGCGGAGATATCCTCGTCGGAGTGAGGTATCATGGGTTGGATATGGTGTTTGTTTGACATAAAGCTCAAATAAAACGTTTACGGATTACCTTCTCATCATCTGGTACATACTTTTTTTATTTCTTAAGTTGACGGACTGATTGAGACGTGAGTGAGACGCTAGAGTAGTAGACCCCACCAACGTAACCAAATTGGGTGCTACGTGATTATGCATTTGACATCTGCTTCACCCTTCGTATTGACAGCTTTCCGAGTTTTGCGCGAGCAACGAGGCGGTCATAGAAACCTGTCACTTCGGGCGATCGGAGCCGTATCTTCAGTTTGCGGGGAAATTCAAAACGCGGCGACAGGTGTTTTCTCTTTCTCTTTTTTTTTTTTTTTTTTTGGGGGGGGGGGGGATTGAAGTTTTGGGCTATCTGATCCGAGCAAAGCCCTTTTGAAGGACCGACCGTGTATTATTTTTACTTATTATCGCTGCGAACTCGTTACCTGCGTGAAAATTACATTGCATCGTTGATTTTGTTGCTTCATTGGGAGCTTCCCAAAAGGCGGAAGCCATGTTGCCTCAAAGGCGAACACGCCAGTCGAACGTCACATGAGCGCCGAGCTGCGATTGGCTAGTCATCTCGCTGCTGGCAAAGGCGGCTGAGAAAGTCGGTCCCGAAGCGGTTGGCCAAAAGTGGCTCAACCGCGCCGCTCCAGCCGCCTTTGCGGTCGAAAACGGGCCCGTCCGCTTTGCGGTTGGTGAACCGCTGCCAGTGTAAATGCGCCATAAGCGATCGATTTCTGCTGATTCAAACTTGATTCAAATGTAATTAAAAAAAGCTCATGACGGTGCATAACAATGTCTTGGGGTTATGGTGACTCTGGAGATCGGGATACAGGAACTTTTATTTACCTTCCCACATAGGCGTTCACGGGCTAAAATCTCTAAATATTAGCAACGTCGGTGCAATAAGCCTATCCTACATAAAGAACAAAAACATTGCTTTGGTGAATACCGTTACAACCGCAGCGAGAGCTATGAAATTTGTACGTCTATTATTGTTTACGAGCATACAGTCGAAAACTCGCAGTGTGCTCCAGGGAGTTACAGAAACGTTCACAAAGAAAAAAAAAGAAAAACACACAAGTCGTACATCTATCACAGTTACGACAGCTGATCCGGCAACAGTTGCAGGAACTTTTTCTTCTTCCAATGTAAAAATCGACAAATGAAATAACAGCAAGTCGGACTAAATAAGCTTACGACAATCTTATATTTCATGAAAGGCGATAGGTTGCCGTGCAGTTAAAGTGAGTTCACGTATATTCAAATATTCTCTTTTTAAATGAGTATTGTTTCTACTTAATTTTTGCTTCTCAGCTCTTTCTCGTGCTATTTACCTGTGCGACAATCCCGCTACTATGCCAGAGGCGTGGGCTCCTTGCTCACGGGCGCACCTCGGCTACACGAACTTTCGCTCAGGAGGAACAACTTTAAAGATAAAGAGCTCGAGTCATTAGCAATTAGCATTGAAACAGATGTATGTTACGGAAATTATCATGAAAGCGAAAAGCGTAAAATGAAGAAACAATTGTAGACACAAAAAATTTGAATAATTATTGAATATTCACCGATTAATTAGCGAATAATTACCAAAATGCAGTCTGATCACCATGATCACCTAATGGTAAATTCTGCTCATAGATTTTAAGCGATCCGAAAAAGATCCGCGCTCGTGCGTTTAGAGTAAACTAGCTCGCGTTTGCATGAACAGAAAAATAACGAACAAAGACCTTCAAAAGCACTTCAAATCTACGAGCGGAATTCGTCACGTGTATGGCATCCAAGTCATGCTAATGGCGGCCGGTCCTTCTTGTTCACCATCGAAACCGAAACAGATCGAGAAAGAACTTTATGATGAAAAACACGTGCTTGTCTGCCGTTGACGCAGGAAAGTGACGCTGCAGGGCCCAATTGATATATTACATTCGGATTACCGCCCTTAGCCTGTTTAATGTTAAACTGATGCTTGAGCCACCAGATGGCACTGCGGAATTTTCGAACGGGTCTGCAGTGCCACAGGGCAACGACAGTATGCTTGTTCTCTTGCTGCATTGAAAATGCGAGTACATTTACGGAGCGGTGGCATTTTAGTTTTTGGTTACGCCGTGTAAACAAAGCAAAGCTAAAGATAAGCGCCACTGGCCCTTTGAGTTGAATGACTATTTCTCCAGGAAACAATTTTGAGTTGTCGCAGTTTGTTGTGCCCAGATGCACTCATGCACCCCCCGACCCTACGTTGTTCCTCGACCTTTCTGTGATGAACGATGGGCCCCCACACTCGAACGAGTCTGTAACCTCAGTCTCATTTTATGGGTTATGTTATGCAATTCTGTAAACGTTCACCCGAAAGGGATAAGGGGCGAGATTAAAGGCCGACCTACAAAAAGCTTTTCCTAAGGAAAATCGTCCTCGTTATCTCTACAGCGGGGGACTCCTTTTCGTTGCTGAATCTTGGGGTGGGATAAGCCTGGATAAGCTCATTATCCGGGGTTAAGGGGGGGGGGGGGGGGGGGGGGGGAGGCAGGGCTAGACGACGGCGATTTTGTGCCTTCGAGAAATCTTGCTACGTACCTCGAGTCGGCAGCCGAAATTTTTCCTGCGTAGACGCCTCGCCTGTTTGTTTCCCACTGCAGTGCAAGGTTTTCTACTGGACATTTTGGCTATCATTTTCAATGCATTCGAACGTGGAAGTAAATACATCGCATGAACGTTGCCCTGATTATTTGCAAACTAAAAATGTGGCAATATACTGTTGCAACCCAATCAATTTCATCATCGATCATTTTTTGGTATGATTCCATGGTGAAAGTATGTTCATCGTGATTCCACAGAAGTGCGTCGTTTCAGAGGCAGAAATAGGTCGTTGTGTTTATTTTCTGGAAATACTCGCTCCTTTGACGCTCGAGTGCGTAAGGACAATACACTCGAGGGAGTGCGTAATACTTTACAATTGTCGTTGGCGGCGATCAAATGTCTGAGGGAAGTGCACAACTTATTTGCACCATATTGGATCGCCTCTGAGCAGCTCTTGTTGGCTTTCGGATATCGTGGATATTGCTCACCGTGAGCCTGGAATGGCTGGTCGTCCTTTTATTTCGCACAACACAAAGACGTTTTTCAAGCGTCATTAAAAACTGAAAAATACAACAATTGCAAAGAAAATGTAAAAAATGAACTTGCGAAAAAAAAAAATTTTTATTTTTTTTTATTTTTTTTTCCGTTTCCGCTCCAATACACAGAATAGTGACCGAGCAACGAATTTCCGCAAAAACATTTCTCCTTGGAGAGGGGACTCCAGGGTATGTGGTAGTGAACCTGTCATT